CCCCCTTTCCCCCCAAGCGAGACCACGCCCAGCACCATACAACTTTCCAGCTGATACTTCTCTACCTAATACCTACACCACCTAAGAAACGCCTATCTATGTGGGGAAGGATGGTAAATTTCGCGTATGCTCGGTTTGGCTTTGCTGTACTTTAACGAAAAATCGCTAGGATTTTTATTAAAAATCATCAATATCGACGGCATTCAGGTACTCGTGATGAGTCTTCACAGCTGTTGGGTCAGCGCGATTGTACACCATCCAGCTGGCGAGGAGACAGCTGCGTCATTGCGCTGAAGCACACCAGGTACTGAATAGATCAACTGTCCAGTGTCGCAATTATGCTCAACTCCAGAATACGTACATACTTGTTCTGGCAGCCGAGTTGATGTATGCCATCTCCACGAGAGTGATGCATGGATTCGAGCATTCCTCAACCTCATTGTCAGGATCACATCGTTGCAGAGCTTGTGAGAATTTCAACGTGCCAGGGCATTTCAGCTGAAAGTACCGCGAAGAGTGAACGTTTCCCAATGGATTGAAATATTATTACAGTCCTTGGTAGCACAAGTCCCTTCAAGTCAGTGTCACAATGATACGGTAAATGCGTATAAAGAGTGGTGAAAGGAGCGCTTGCCACGCACATCCCTCTCCTCCCAAAGGGTAGTATCGTCCACCCAAAACGACGTCGCGTTTATTCTTGCTTCGTGAGAACTATAGCGGCAATAGCGCAGTAGTTTAAGTGTGCTTTCAATACGCTAAACAAAGGATCAGGAATACCATCCTGCCAACGAGACGCCCAGGAGCCGCCAATTCGCCATGCCAACTCGAGCCAGCAACTGATTAATATATACATTTTGTTCAGCCGGCCTGCCAGTGTAATTTCGGAGAGTAGCACTGTCCTAGATCAAATAGCTAACTTGTTTTGGAGCGAAATAACTAAGAAGCAGCATGGTGGTGCAAGGGAGTGGGGGGGAGGGAGGCGGTCTAAGATAATTTCAGGCTGGATATGGTGACGGCTGTTTTGCATCGTTTTGCAGTAACCTCGAGGGGGAGGGGGTGTGTCAAAAATTTTGTGCCTGAAAACGTCACAGTTGGCCCCAAACTAGAAGAAGGAAAGCAGTGCAGCAGCCGCGCGCCGAATCCGACTACGCTACTCGCAGCCTCTCATTTTGATTCATGGACCTGTAAATCTCTACAGGGAGCCATCGATAGGCAGCCTTGACTGTACACTACATAGGATGCACCATACCTTATAGAATTTCCCAGCTATGCAGGCATTATATTCTGAGGAGCATCTATCCGAGTAGTATCCGTCTGTTCTTCCAATACAGAAAGCGTCTGAAAGTACAAAGTTGAAGGAATTAAGCTTCATGATAATCGAAACGATTCCAGACAAACTGGAGTATTTCTCAAGGGTAGCAGAATCTCGAGGCAGGAATCTGACTTTCGGGGGAGCTTTTTGAAAAAGACGATCTATATCCAAGGCCAGGAATTGTTGAAATATAATAAGCAAGTCGAAAATCGGAAAACAAAAATCGGTTCCCCTTCTCATTGTCGCAGGGTGTACTGTGACTCTCAAAGAAAAAACGTGTGAAGCTCCCTACCCGAAAACAAAAGTGGCAATATTCGAGCAAACTATTCTAATTCCTATGAAATACAACCTCCGGCCTTCCGCATAGGGTGTCGGTGTTTACCCAGAGATGATAAGTAAGCTAGCTGGGTGCCGAATCGCCGAATCTCTACCGAATTCAAGCTCACCTGCGTTTTCGACCCTGACTGGCTGTCCAGCTGCCCTTACTCTGTTGAGACATTCCGGAACATTGTGCTCGAAATCGCACTGTCCATTGTGCGGGTTGAAAATGAGGTTTCCAGAACACCTACGGCAGAAAGGTGATATTGATCAACCCATATAAAACCGCATTTTTCCTTCTATGCGGAAATAGAGAACCAACTGACCTTGACTCGGATTTAGCTCCTTCCCAACAACTCACATATTCAGCCCTACACTGTCCGACAGGATGTGCTCCATTGGCGAGCTCAGTGCAGGTGATCCTAAAAGTTACGGGTCACGAAGGGAATAAAGGGCACATCGGGTGGGAAGGCTTTCAAGGGTGATCATTCCGAAGCGCCACGCATCGGAATTTGCTCTGAAATTGTGGAAGTGACCTAACGCGTGAGTTTGTTGTGCGATTCATGGGACCTAGGCCAGTGATCCTTTTCAATTGGGACGTGACCTCGACAAGTCCTTTTAGAACCTAAGGGTTTGCTCAAGGCGGGATTTGATCTCATGAGCCTTGTCTGCGCGATATTAACCTCATCCTATCAAGTTCAGTGAACATTTCTTTCCCTCATAAAGACTGGTTTTGAGCTGAATGACTAACAAGACGTTGATTCTGGTAGCAGAAGCCATCTCGTGTTGGTGAGAACCAGGCCGTGATAGCAGGGAACCGATCTTGGGGCGAGCACTTATCGTTACGAGGCACAGCTCTATGTGGTTCCCGTCGGGAAATTATTTTCAGTATTTCCAATTATTTTCATCAAATATTGAATATTTCTATGAAAAGTTTGATACCATGGACAGTTGGCAGGATAGTCGCAATATCCACCTTCCTCATTGAAAACAAGTCCGGCTGGACAGCTCATCATAATGGCAGTACCGTTCACACACTAAAAGCTTTTTAGAATTTCGTACGGTTTTCAAATTGCCGACCACAGTAGGTGCAGCTACCTGCATGTAGGTGCTGAAACATTTTCCAACGGCGAACGGCCCTTCTTTTCCACTGGAGCAAGGAAGTTCAACTGCTAGACTGATCTGAAATGCTGAGATACAGGTTGTGAGCTGGGAGCGCACGTTGCCCGGTCTAGAGGGTGGGGAGTCGTATTTTGAAATTCTAATTTTTTTTTGAAATTGTAATAATGACTGTTGACCCAGGTTGCGAATAATGATCGTTGACCCAGGCTACCGCGTTACCAAGCGCGGCAAGCGCCCAAATCGCGCGGCCTCGCTACCGCAGTACGCGGCAATTTTACTGCGAGCTGACGCGTTCAAACTTCATTTGCGTGCGACAGGCTGGACGCGTCCAAACTTTGTACGGATGTTTGTCCGGCCGACCCGAGCAGCTCATTTATGTCGAAATCGGCGGGCGATTGAAAAAACGCTATGCCAGCGCACCACTATGTTTAAAGGACGAAGTCGTACTACGAAAGCAACCATTTCAAATTAACCTAGCGATGGTGAGTGGTACACTAAAGAAGGAAAAAACCATGAGAAACGGCCCAGAACCTGAGAAATGGGACCCCTTCCTTGCCCGTTGATTTGAGCATTGATGCGACTATCATCGCTGTGCCCTCTTCAACGCTACGCTCTCTCACCTATCTAATCACTCGCCACGTATAGACCTGCGGCGAGTGATCAGATGATCGGTGGGCGTGCACTGGCCCACCGCGCCAAGATTGAGCCTTAATAGGTCGCCGAGGTCAACTCCTTCGGTGCCAATTGCGCTTCAGTCCGCACACCTTAGGAGGTCTGCGGGTCCCTCAACTAGGTGAATTACTCCTTCTTCGACCTTCATTCTAATCGTGAATTCGTCCTTTAATTCTTGCGAAAATCTTATGAAATTTAGCACCGTTTTCACCAACCTTTCCGTAACTGATCGATCCTGTTGCAGCTGGTGAACTGGCCACAGGTGGAACAGCAGGACTTCTGAAAAAGGATTGTATAATAGCACCTCCTGAAAATTGCTATTGTTCCTGCTATAAAAGCCGAACGGAAGCAGTAAAGGTTTCTAATGCTTATCAACGCATATAGGAATAGCCACGCACACTTGAGCTCGCAGATTTCGAGCAGGTAATGTACTTGAAGCAGGGACCTCGGTTTTAGGACAGGTCCGAGTCAGTGCTGCTATTTTCTCATTAATTAAACGATAAAAAGAAAGAAGGTTAAATTAGCCTGGACGGATTTTAATCCGTTATGAATGCATGCAGCGCGCAGCAGCTCTATAGGCCACAGCATCATTCTCACTATTTTCCAAGGAGACCAATCCAAGAAAGAAGAATAAGTAAATCACCCTGAGCAGCTTTCAGGATAATCGCAGTATCCATTCGCTTCATTGAAAAAACGAGGCCAGCTGGGCAGTTCATCGGAAATGAGACACCGTTCAAGCACTAAAAAATCACGATGCACATTGGCTCAAGTTGAAGTAAGGAGCAATAGAAAGAGAAGGTAATCAAAACGGGGAATTCGAAAAAACGGACTAGCTGAAGATAGGCATTGGAGCATTTTTGGACAGAGAAAAGGCCACTCTTTCAGGAGAACATGGCAGCAAAGGAAATTTGATGTCCCATCTTGGAAACTCTGAATGGTTACAGCTAATTGCGAGTAACCTAGGGAATAACTATTACATCGTTGTCGAGCCAATGATCTGCGGATACCGGATTGTGTGAGCTGACGCGTGTAAAGGAAAGTGGACTCCTGAAAAAAGGATGTTTACCCTTTAAGACGTCTTTAGTTGTTCTCTTGTAATTTGCTTGCTTATTTATTAATTTGATTTTGTACGGAGGTGAGCAACTGCGGGCGAATTTAGTAAGGCAAGAACTCAACTCAGTAAAATCAAATAATATACACAGAAAAATTGCTAGCCATAATTTCCATTTGTCCGTTTGTGTTTGATTGACAAGCTCGAAATCAAGAAGGCAGTCGTATTTAAGTTTCATTATCTCGATCAAAGTTTAATTGGAAAAGAGCGTGTATAAAGGCGGCTCGGAGGTTCTTCACAGTACTACTTCAAACGGCAGGTCGGAATCACCTAGACGTCAACCGTCTACAGTTTGGATATTCCTAGGTATCACGGTAGAATATCTGCTGTCATGCCACAGTCTACTACTTAATAACATTGTGATAATTCCGTCATTTCGCAGTGGACTATCATTAGATACTTATTTTCTATCAAAGATCGAATACATATTGGAAAAATATCGTACAGAGACCCCGTGGGCAATTATCTAGCAGCACTATTCGGATCCAACAGCTAGAACCAGGAAATATGTAGTGTTAGGTCAAAAGTATACTAAACAAGAAGCGGTGGATTGCGGTGCTACCAGACAAGTTGGCGCACTCGCACGCGCACGGTCAGTGGATCAATCCTGAATCCTCTTGAGTCACGGCCGTTCAAGTTCTAAAGTCCTCAGGGGTCCACTCGATGTTTGGAAGATGAAACCCGTCTATACACGTCGAATGGTTCCAGTATCATAACATAATGCGAATAATCGCATTTCAGTTTCTAAACCTCGAGTCTAGCACCAATTGATTACTGGAAGGGAAGGCAAAGTTTGACTCGGGCCTAAATCAAGTAGCGGTTTTCATATCAATGAGAAGTAGGCTGTCACTCGCTTTTTCAGGTAGTTTTCCAAATTATAAAAAGAAAATCTGTCATTGTTGTTGGCGGGCTGTCGTATGGGATTAGTGGACTGCTCCCGAAACATTCCACAATAAGCTGATTGGAGGCATCTCAGTGAAAAATGGGCCTTACGGAATCCAGGTTCGTCACATATTTGTACAATGCTGAGGTACCGTCTATATCAACTATGAAGATATACCCACTTGCAAGCTAGTGGATAGTCACATGCCGAAATGCGAGCGTCAAATACAAGTCCAGTAGTGCACTCCAAAACTTCCGTCCTTCCAGCCACACACGATAAAGTACGGGGCAAGTTCTTTGTAGTAGCCATCGACTAATGGGATTTCCAATAAAATCAGTATAAGTGTATATGTTATATCACTTGCTGTGCACGTTTATTCATAAGGATTTCCAAAAGAGAGTACAGAGAGAGCGAAATTCATTGGACCTTATGATGATCTGGGATGTCTACCGAAAGCTATCTCATGGCCGGTGTACATAGATCACAGCTGACAGCAGGATAGCTCGAAATACCGTTAGCAGAGCAGCGAACATTCTGCGGCAGCTACGTCAATGGCTTGATGCTGGAAATATATCTTCTTCTTAGAACAACGTTTCGGTAGATCGTATGTGTATCAAGCTCCTTCATTATGAGAGATTTTGAAGTGGATTGAAGCAGTAGATCAATTGATTGTTGAATCCAGCAAAAGCACAAAAAATCGAATATACCAAAGATAATCCGGAAATATAGAGAGTTTGATGTGGGTAACCCCGAGTCGATTTTTAGAGTTCTATTTCCTAGCCTGGTCTCGTACATTCACTTAGATTGATTCCCAAGAAGCAAAAGTTTTGAGCGCTCAGACTGGTGGGCTTTTTTTAGAAGCACATTCCACAGTAACTTGGATGGGTTCATTTGATTTCCAACAACGGGTTTTTACGCCCGTATATGAACTACCATATGCATTGCATTAGTAGTCTACAGATGGATAGGTGAAAAATGGAACTGCCCCTGAACCATCAAAATGACATCCAGCGCTGGACGTTCAAGTGACGTCACTTCGAATATGGTCCTCTCATTGGTTGACTCCTTCCTCTGGTACTGTAACATACGGTAAAAATGTCATCGGAAGACGCCCGATGTTCTAACAAAGTGAACTCAGTGGCCATGCTGATTGAGTCAGCACCTTCGGGGCGGTTGAGCATCGGAGGAGATTTGGCCCCAGCTGAGCTTTTTTTGGGCTTCGAGAACACGGGGTCACAACTTCTTGAAGCCCTCCAAAAATTAACCTGTTACTTCGAGGAGACCACTCCTAGGGCGCATTCACAGTGAGAGAGGTGGGCGCAGTGGGTGCTTCTTATAAGGTGGGAAGGACCGAGAATGGGCGAATTGGGTCGGAACGATCAGATGGCTTCGGTGAGGATAAGGAAGTTTCCCTGGAACAGTTCCGTTTACCAATTTTGACTATAGAATTTCCAGAATCGCCCAGTTATATAGACATCCTTTGGAATACGATGAAAAAAGACGTACCGCAGGACATTCGTACTTGAACGCTTTACTATTGGCACATTTCCAGAAAACATTCGAGCATTCTCCAATGCTGTACTCTCCATCGGGACGGTTGAGGCAGTTGAATTCTAAATTAGTCCATTTGAATACTTATTTGTATGAGCAAGCCAAGTTTTTTTGTATGTTCCTTTGTGGGCTACACTAAAGCCCTTGCATGAGTCTTCTCTCATGTAATAAATATAAGCCCTTTAGAAATCATACCACCGTCATCGTTGCCTTGAGGTGGAACAGGTGGAGGTGCGGGCGCATAAATCACCTGCAAAATTACTTGTTTCAAAAAATTTAATAAGATTTGATTTTGTACAATTTGCCTACCGGATTGAATGAAGCATAATTCGCAGATGGCGGGACAGGTCCACTACAAATGGCTTATTAGAGTAGAATAGTTAATGGTTATCCCCTCAGTGACCAAAAGAAAGTCACCAACCTTATCTTTCTCCTTCGGGATTCCTACATGATTGCACGTTACGTTTGAAGTCAAGAGATCCTCCTGTTCATCAAAGACAGCCTGGCACTCGCGGCATCTGAAGCAGACAGATACAAAAAGAGGCTAAAGTGAAAGTTGAGGTGACGGCTTCAGTAACAATTAACAAAACACAACCACGGCAACAAGATGATGACACAGTTCTCATGTTTGGGTAGGTTGTGCGGCGGCTTGGAAGCACTCTAGATGTGCCCGCGGTAACTTCGGGCGGGTGGGGAATGAGCGTCGAAAGAGGGTGCCAGAGCTCGCAAGAGAAGCGTTCACAGGCTTCAGTATTCGCAGCGAGGCGTTTTGGCGCGTCACTCATTCTTGTTGCGATCTTCACTCTCCGCTCGCTTCTTCACGATCAGTCCCGGCATTCGCATCCGACCGTCGTCGTCGACGCGTGAGAAAGCTTTCGTTAGGCTGGCTGCTTTGAACCATTGATTCCCGCTGATAGCCCTCTTGACGATAATGCGCATTTGCACGATAGCTCTCGATGCGCGGCGCACGCTCTTTTTGGTGGCCGTTGCCGAACTGCTCGCGCCATTGGCAAAAGTTGTCCCTCAAAGCAGTTTTTCACAGAATTTTTGACTGGGAACGGGGATAGCAGACGTTGTAAGGAACAGTTCTAGCTTTCATACTGTTAGATTGTTTTCAGAGTAAATACGATTTGCAAGGGAAACTCGGGCTTCAAAGGAAAGGAGAGCAAAAACTCTAAAAGTTTGAGTATTCAAGAGAATTTCCCACACACTTCAAGCCTATTCCCGTATCGGAGGGCTATGAGAAAACGATGAAATTAAATTAGTAATTATTGTCTGCCTAATAAGCGAAACCCAATTTATTGTGGAGGATCGAGTGAATGGCCCAATTTGGTTTCTATTTATTTAATTACTCTTGAATAGCATTTCTGTGAGCCGTGTAGCCAATGATTATATTGAATGAAACTTGCTTAATCATTATTGGTGTGTTGGACATATAGTTTGAAATAGCCACAAAGAAAGAATTTTGATTGCGCGTGCGCACCTACGAGTGGGTGCATGTCGTGCAAAGGGTACCTTGCGGCCCCATTCTGTCCCAGTGCTTTTCATATTGGCGCACAAGAAGCACACCATTTCGATTCTAGAGCATGCTTTTATTAGAGCGAACTTTCCGAGGGTGTATAGCAAGTGGGCCACTCTTTCACTCGGGGATCGTAATGAGGGCAGATTTCAAGCAATACCGAATTTCAATGGTATGAGCCTTGGTAAGTAGAGGCTCGTTTCAGTACCTTTATCAGTCCACCAGTTCGCGCCAAGCGATCGAAATCAATTGCCAAGTTATCGAATTTGCTCAACTTCGTATGACAACCTTCTATGCAGCCACTTATTTCTTTTTGTCAAACTATACCTTAATCTGCCTAGAGATAATCATAAAGAATTAGGGGCTATCTCCATAAGAATAAAGCATGTGGGGCGACGGTCGCGCTTGCAAACACCTGATTCCTACAGTACTCCCAATTTTGAGAGGGAAGGAAGTTCCTAGGGTACGTGAACTAACTTTTTTTTTCGTTTTTGCACCCATTCTTTGATTGTTAGACTTACCGTCTTGTTTGAATGGATTGGTGTAGGACTCACGAATCTGCTTCAAATGTCAAATCCCGCATTTTTTAAAATAGGTCTAATGATACTTATCTAAGGAGTAGATGTGCATGAAAAAGAGTTGAGTCGGGCAGTAGCGGTGTGCCTTTGAAGGCAGATTTTTAGGTTTGGTAAAAATGGGTGTCTAAAATACAGTGTATTCATTTTGGAGCTAGAGGTGGGACGCGTTCTTGGAAGAGAAGGAAAAACAAACGAACCACGATACAGTTCCGTATAGAGACTCCCTTTTCAGCTGGCATTTCCACCTTGGGATAGAGAAGGGGCGCGTTGTTCGAGTTTCACGAACCTGACTTTAGTTGCTTCAGTGCCAATAACATTGTGTCGCAATGAAACCGCTGCCTCAAATGCGCCTGCGCTTCTCAAGTAGCGCCACGGTGGCAACCGACAGCGGAGGTGGTGGGCTTGCGCGAGACCGAAGGTGTGAGTTGCGGGTCGGACGAGCTCCTTGCGCCTTTGTCGCGCACTTTCAAGCGGCAAAAGGGGCGCGGCATCAACGCTTGTCCGCCTGTCTACTACCCGCAGGACGAAACAGGCGAGCGCGCCTAATCCCGGAGCGTGCCTTCAAGGAAAAAGGGGCGATATTCGCGAAAAATAACACTATCAGCTAACACGGAAACGCGGCCTACTGTTGGTGCGGCTTTGATTGAAATGCTTGAGCTGCAGATGGCAGAATTTCAGCTGCCGATGTGTCAGTTCAAAAAGATGGAGTTTGCTTCAAATGACGTAAGAATAAGAAGGATCGAAAAAATAATAAAGGAAGAATTTAATATGGACCTTCAACAGCTGCCTTAATCCAAGCATAAACGTGGACAACTTGCGCTGGCAGTGGAAAATTACAGAATGTGCCGTCAAAATGAGTGAAAATGGGGGTGACACTCCTAAGCATGGCAGGAATGCGTGACGCCGATTTACCGAACCCAATTCCTGGTAGACATTCTAAAAGTGCCTTTCCCGTACGTGTGTTGACTCTTCACTTCCGTAGGTTCCTTCACCTCTTAGGGTCGGGTAGCCGCCTCACTAGGTGAAATAGCTACTTTTCCCAAACGCCGTTAGTGCCATTCCAGCCGTACACCTGACAAGATGGGGTAGGAATCAAAAGACTGCTAGGCAGGCCTAGAGCTTGGAAGAGTCTCTTGATCGAAATTTGGCGTCAGAGCACAGCTGCGCAGCTCATGCCCCCCTCCTCCCCCCCCCCACCTTAGTGCATGAGACCCATGATCTGTCCTTATTATGGTCAGAAAGCTGCACCTTGCCCTGATCCTTCTATGTGGAACGAATGATGAATAGTAAACAATCTTGCCTGGTGATTTCTCAAGATGTGCAGTATCGTGAAAGCATTCAAAATCGTGATTTTCTTGCACCATCCTCGTGCGCTTACAGAGTGGACCTAATGACCGCCTCCTTTAGTGATTAAATGGTTCCTGATGAGGGGCTTCCGGACAGCACAACACTACAAAGCTTCTGGTTATTACTTACTGTTGTCGAATTGGTCGCCCGTGTACACACGTGTAGTAGACATGGTCACATCGGCTTTCCGGGTGCTCGAAACTGCCGTCACGTCCAGTACAGTCGAATGGTTTTCTGAAAAAAAAGCGGTGTCAGGAAGGGTTGGTTACAACGGGCAAGTACTTCGCAGTTGTTGTAGAAGCCATAACACATCCCTCTGATCAGTTTGTTCCTGTTCTTAGCCTCATCCAAGCAGGTGCTCGTTTTCTCCAAATGGTTGCAACGGTTCCTTTTTGGATCGAAGTAGAGATTCGACGGGCACTTGTACTCATAGGCATGTCCCTTAAATGACCCCATTAGAGGCGCTGCCTTCGAAAAAGGCTTTTCATGCAAAATGAAAAAATGGCGCTATCGCAGGATGGGTGGCATTGTGGTGGCAATGCATTTAAAAGAGCGTGAACAATTCCTTTCTATCGAAAACGAGCCTAAGCCTCAAGCTTTAGAGGAGAGACTCCAGAGTGCATGAGCTTTCATTTTCCCTGAGGTTCTTGTCTCCTCCAAAGCCTAGTTTCAGAGAATGCCCTCGTATTTTGCGATAGCGCCGAAAAATAGAAAGGTCCATGGTTTCCTTACATCATAGCAGCGGTAGAACACTTGGTTGCATCCCAGCACGTAGAAGTTCTCCTCTCGTTTTTCCTCACATCCAGCGACGGTCTTCCAATCGATACCTTAATGGGGAGGCAAGGAGAATATAGACCTTATGTGTGAAACTGGTAAATCGGGCATTCGCAGCTATGGAGTTGGCCTGCTTACGGACCTCTTGTCTGCCTACAGATTCTCAAGTGCATCGTTCGTAACTGATTAAAATAAGGTATCTGGGTGACTACAACTCAAATAACCCATTCAAGATTCTCATTGCTTTTGTCGAGATAAATGGCAGCGGATGCGCCGCCCGGAAAGGGAGGAGCTTCCACCCCTTCAGGTTCCAATTTCCTCTTCTCAAGAAAATCCCACACTGCGAACTAAGTTGTCCGGTTTTTTTTTTCATCGAAGACTTGTTGGAAAGAACCCGATAGCTTACCTGTGTATGGTTCATTGGCGGCATGTACGGTCAAGATCGGCCATAAAGACTGCAACAGGAGCAGTAACAGCATAGCTGAAAAATAAAGCCCATACTCAATTCATACGAACTATACGAATTTTGCGACATAATCGCTGAAGTAATCGAAAATTTGAAATATAAGTAATTTACTTATTTTACAGTGAGCAATTAATGGAAATGAACAGAGGCAAATTAAATGCCATTCAGTGCTTGCTAAAGAGGTGTGTGCGGTGAGATTCTGTCGCAACGAGGGTCTGTCGTCAAGAGGGTGCATACATTCAGAGAAATTGTTACAGACAGATCCAATACCGTACACATGGATGGCAAGTACAGTTTCGAGCCAGTGATTGATGATTTGGCATCAAAAGAAAATTCTGGTGGATATGGTTTCCATTGCTTGGGTGCGACACAATTAGGTCCTCGGTCTCTTCACGGCCGAGTTTGTTGCTTGACAATTGTTCAACCTACTAATTCGGAATGAGTGGTTTCAAATTTGTCTCCTTGTCGTTCTATTAGGTACCGGATATCTTAATGTCGTTTTTCTGAGTTCAGGAAGTTTCGGGGCCGATTACCATGGAAAATCAATTTCTCAGAACGTTCTTTTTGCTTATTAATACTACGTAATATGTTGCTTATTAGTCCCTATTGTTACTTTACAATTTACCTCTCCCCCAATTTTTATACCTTTTTCTGAAAATTCCTGGGTTCATTGCGCAAATTCGTATGTGTGTACCAAATGCCATCAAAGTCGGGCTGGGAGCTACAGATCCGCCAACCAAACTAACATTGCTTTTGTTAGAGGGAATACTACCGTTTGGAATGCTCACCGGTTCTCCTCAGTTTTCTTAAAAGACAGTGAAGTTTTTGAAAGGATGCCTGCAATCGTCTTCAAAAAGATGGCCCTAGTTAAGCCAGCTGAGAAGGGGCTGCACCAGACTTGTGCTGAAATGGTAGGATACTTTCACTGTGATGGATTGATGATGCGCAAACATTCCTATGAATTTGATTCCGCAAGATATTCTGATAAATGTGCTCACCTGCCTCTCACGCGCGCTCAAAAAGGGTGCGTTTTTGACCCTATGTTGCAAAAAAGTCTCCGTAAAAAACTGCCCACTTGGGCTGATAAGTTCTAATTTTTCTGTCGTGCAATGCAGACCCTACGCTAACCAGCTGTATACTTACTTTGTCCAGGCCTTACTTTTTAGCAAGTAAGAGGGATGATTTATCAGAGGATGTCAAAACCGACCTGCCTCTCCTTTTTAACTCAAAAAATTCCGAGCTTGGATCGTGCAAGGTTTCCACTCAAACTGTTAGATGAGGGGATCCTAGTAAGTCATTTTATGATTAAACTAATTCCTCCCCGGGTTTTGAACTGAAATATTGCTGGTCCAAAACTCTTGGTGAAAAAACGACATTAAGATATCCGGTACCTAATAGTACACGATCGGCCATATCTTAAGGAACTACTCCAAGAACCAGCGATGTTTTAAAATGGCGAAGTTATTTACTTCATAGAATTTGCGCGCACAACAGAAAGTGATAGGAAGGGCCTTTAGAGTCTGGGTAGGAGTGTATGTCACAGACAAGTTATTCCTGTGCCACTCATGTTATCCTCACATTCTGAAATTCGTCATGGTCACTGACCTTCTCCAAAAGTTTTCAGAAAAAGAACCTTAGGCATTAGCTAAAAATTTATGGAAATGTTTCGGGGTCAGAAGTGTCATGTTGCGTTAGCGACAGGCTTGACAAAATCAATTCCGCCTCAAAATTGGTCACCTCATTCTTTTAAGACTCGAAATATCATTCGAAACTTTCCTAAATTCGTGGAAAAGTTGGTCAGCCACTGACCGAGTAGTGGAGCTTAAAGGCACAACCCAGGCAGAGGTCGTGTGAACGCTTCTCTTCGGTCTGTAGTATAGACCCCTAGAGGACAATCACAAATGTGGCGTTCCTCGTGCACGGAAACCAACCGATAAGAGCGCTTGGGCCTTGCAAAGTAAGCTGCCCAAGCTGCAGACTTTTTTTCTCTTATCAGGCTGTTGTCTGGCGCTCTCTCATCTGTAGCGCTCTCTCGCCTCATACTCTCCTCTCCGCGCTTAGTCTCTCATTCCCTTAGCACAGCCGATTAGGAAGGTGAGTGAGCCCTTAACCTAAGCGTTTTCGACGGATTCTTTTCCTTTTTTCTTTACTGCCGGCCCATTTCGCACCAATACATTCGCATTCGTGTGCAAGAGCCACACCAATGTGATCCTGGGGCATGCCTTTAAATTGCCTTCTAGTGAACATTCGAGAAGATGATCATGGTTGCCGTGGTTGGAGATAAACAGCGTGAACCAACAAAGCCTTCATCTTCAGCCTACTCGCAGGTGAACTCCACGAATTGGCAAAAAATAAAACCTCTTATTTGAAAGAGAGCTAAGAAATAGCGGTTAACACCTTCAAGTGCTTAGAATCTTTCATGAGAAGAGCTCGAGATCAGTTGCGAGACATATCACGAGGGAAAATTGTTGTCCCAATTTCAAAAATCTTTCAACCCTAGGGCATTGTAGAACAGATAGTTCTATCGCAATACAAGGGCATTTGGTTCCTTAGTCTGAGCAGTTCCACATTCTGATGGCGGAGAAAGTCTGGGATGCGTGAACTACTTCGCTATCACTTCCATACTGTACTTGGGAGCTATTGCACGAGGTGCCCCTCTGTTCCAACGACAGCTCCAAAAATGTCTACTGAAGAATTTTCTCTTTCAGCAGTTGTTGAAGGGGCTCATGTCGTTAAGAGGGACATTCGAAGCAAGGCTTATGGCCTGGGCAGGAGTAACGAGGAGTGACATAAGGGCAAAGCCTAGGAAAGGATAGAAACGCCAGGGAACACGAATGACTCCATCTCCCAGACTGTCCGTTCCTCTCGCCTGAAGCTTAATAAACAAAGTACCCTATAGGACCGAAAACCACCGGGGATCCCATTCAACCATTAAATTTCAAACGTCCAAATAGGACAAAGGTAATCGGCTACTACGGAAGAGATGATGAAATCTTCGTGATAGCAGTGAACAATGAGAGAGTCGGGCAAAGGAATGAGCGACGGCATGCAAGAGGCAGAAACTGTGGCTGCTTTCGCATTACTGTGGCGAGAAGCTTTATATTCCCTAGCGCTTATCAAGTTTTGATCTGAAAATAATTTCATTTCATTCATTTCTCGACTTTGCTATTGCATCGGGAAACATTACACATGCACAGCGGAAAGCGTCGGCGTGGTTGAGCCAATGCAAGTGAAACAGCGAAAAGGAAATGCACTCAGCATTTAGCTATCCCTTGGAAAAGCGCCTCGCATTCCACTTTAATGCAGGATCGTAGTGTATGAATGAAAAAATGAATGAATGACTGCGATTAGACCTATACAATAAGTTGTGGAGCCAGCCGAAGTGCAAGTGAATGTCTTTATCTTCTTGGAGATGTCTGCTACCAATTGGCTGACCCCGGAGGTAAGGAATGTAAGGCCCGGTTAAACTGGACGGAGAGTTCAATACCAGTACCGAACGTCTGACGCTTCACGATTGCCAGTCGGCTGCTGTTGAACACCACGGAAGGGAAGTCATTTATTCTACTCATCCCTGCGTGATTCTCTTTCACTATCCTGCTTCTATTCTCCTTCCACGCTACCAATTACTTAGATTCTAGCACAGTAAGCAACGGAGCTTGCCATTACACCAATTCCGCCCAATGAAAGAATAAACACTGAAGTGTTCATGTCGACGAACTTGTTGGAAAAGCGTGACTGTCTCAATTCCGGTTGCGAGTAAATAAGGTATGTTGTAGTACAGTTGCTGCAGCTAATTTTATGAGGCCTTAACGCTTCGTCGGCGGGTTTCCATGCACGGGAAACTTTCCAACAAGCGGATTTTGACTTGTTTTTGTTTGTTAACTGCTGTTTTTGGCCGCAGTTCGCCTTGCGAATGTTTCACAAGAATGCTGGGTTGTGAACAAAACTTTCGTTTTGTTTGTTCACAACCCAGCATCTTGTGAAACATTCTCAACGCGTAATAAGCGTTATACGGCCTCATGAAATTAGGTCCTGCACTCACTTTTTGTGATTTCCTCCAGGTCTTCATCCTACAAACTGGAAAGAACCCTTCACTCACCTTTTGCGCTGGGTTGTACCTTTGAGAAAGGAAGTTAGAGTATAATGGCTGAAAGTGTCTCACGGAATAAGAATGGTTACAGCACCGAATTCTATGAAGGATAAACAAGTTTTTGGCCTTTTAGAGAGTTGAGAAATTGCACCCACTCTCTCATACAGTTTCATACAAACTTTGGTCTGAATATCGGACAGTTATCGTTTGTGACAATGCAGTCATTACTGTGACATGGCCCTTTCTGAACGAATTTCATCGTGTATATGCGTAAACATACACTGCGTTTCATAATTATAGGTCCACCCTAAATTTTTGCTACCCCAAAGTTGCTGTGCATTTTTTGGAAATGCTGCTATCACCGTTAGATTCCTCATCACGGAAAACCTTCATAGTGTTTTTTGACAAATTCCCCCTCAAGTAACCCAATTAACTTTTTAGAACGAATTTTCACCGTTTCATGAATATCGGGCCACTCATAAAAAGTTTCCATTTCTCACGATCCGTGAAGGGAATCAGGGAAGCGGGGAAATATGTGGGCTCAGTCGACATCGAGTTTACCATACCTCGTGTTATTCGCCTCTCTTCCCAGTAACAAGCTCAAGCTAGAGCACTTACTGAAGTGGGATAGCTGAGGAGCAGAATTTCCTCCCATGTCGGCCGGCTCATACTGCATAAGCGACTATGTGCAAAATCCTGGTCAGTGCGGAGAGAAGAGTCGCTTAGGTAAATAAAGACTGCGTTTCCTTCAAAATTTAGGAGGAATTGGGTGTCTTCTCTCGAATTATACAAGGAGTCCGAACAAAGTCCGTACTGAAATGCGGCCTTCCGTGAGCAAAACCACCGTGTGGTGAGTAAGCCAGCAGAGCAATAACATCTTCAACGGATTGATGAAGAGCGTTCCAAGATTATTTGAGCGCTAC